AGAGAGAGAGAGAGAGAGGGGAAGTTGCGAGTGGGCGTGACTGTCTCGCCACACGCATTCAGTTTCCTGACAACGTGAAACACACAAAATGGAACTCTATAAAGACGAGAATTTTCCCTCTACAAGGAGGAGTTGGTGATTGAAGATCCCACTAGGAAGAAATACCTTTCTTCAGAAGTGAAGAAAAAGAGAAAAAAAAGGGACGCCTTTTCCTTGAAGACTTGGATACAGAATAAGAGAGGAAAAAACAAAAACTCCCAGAAAGCGTTTCTTCCAAACAACAGAAATACGTGTTTTCAGTCAGCTTGCAAAGAGCTGTAAAAGATTTTTACCTCAGTGCATGTACTACAGAAGTAGAAGCAAAAGAAACGTTTTTGGAACGATACAAAACAAGTTTTTTTTTTTACTTCGTTTACTATCATTTTGTCATCTAGAGATTTTTGCACTTTCTGTTCTTTTAACCACCTCTATGGTGTGGCGCGAGCTTTATTTATGCAAAGAGAAGAAGAAACGAAAGAGGCTTGGGTAGGAAGGGGATATGTGGGGTGGGTGTTACTTGAGTAGTTAAGACAGGTCCTGTGGTTTAAGGTTATTAACTCTGGAAAGCTTACCATGCGCCCTATGCTGACAGTAAACTCGCAAGACTGTGAGCAAGGAATTTTGATTGATGGTGCTTGGAGTCAAAAATGGGTTAAAATACTTAAAAAGTATGTTTGAAACGGGAGAGGATTTTACAAAGGAAAACAAAAATGAGCTCGGCGGGTGCTCAGGATCATATTTCAGTAGGTCGAGAAAAAGCCTTGTTGAAGAATCCGTTTTTCTCATTATGTTATCTTACAAGTTGGGGTATATTTTCGTTGGCAATATGGTTATTTTTCCTGTTGAAAGAGGAGTAAAATACGCATATATTCGACGCCATACGGTACCCATTTTGTCATACACACAAGCAGTAACAATCGTTTAAAGTATTTATACGTACTCATAATAATATCATTGTGCGCACACACACACACACACACACACACACACACACACACACACACACACACACACACATACACACACACACACACACATAATGAAAAGACGTTATGACTTCAAATTACGACAAAACCACTGACGTACTTGCACATAGGGCACTGCGCCACGATGCGGCTTCGGATGCTAATTTTCTGCACGTCTTGTTCGTTCTTCCGCTTCCTGTGCAGTTGTCGTCTTGCCACTGAGAGAAAACTGCCTCGTGTCTTTTTGGAAGCAGGAAAGCGTATGATTAGGGTATTTTTATAATGTGTTTTGTTTCGTTATGTTTCGTTCCTTTTCGTTTCGATTTGTTTTTGTTGGTTGTATTTGTGTGTGTGCGTGTGTGGTTTTTTTTGGTGTTTTTTGGTGTTTTTTT